TTTTTTTTTTTTTTGTCTTTTTGAGACAGGTCTCCCTGTAGCCCCAGCTGGTCTAGAACTCACCATGTGGACCAGGCTGGCCTTGAACTCACAGAGATCACCTGCCTCTGCCTCCCGAGTGCTGGGATTAAATGTGTGCGCCATCACACCCGGCTCGGCTTTAAATTGTTTAATGTTGTTTCATTCATGCTCTACTAAACTTAGTTATTTCTGTGTTGTTTACTCATGTGCGGATGATACTTATTTCGCATCGCTAAAGCAGAACTTGGGTGCCCTGTTAAAACGTGGGTGTAGCATGTGAGCTTGGGAGGCAGGGTCCCTGCTCTGTCTTTTGCAGAGCAATGGGAAAATTCCATAAGCTCTGTAGTTGAGTTTCCTCATCAGTGCAAACCTGGCTCACAGTCTACCTACCTCATAGGAGCATTTGAAAGTGGAAGCAGTGATTACAGAGAAAATGCTTAGTTCTAATCACCAGTCCCATTATATAGATGAAGAAGTTGAGTCATAGGGAAGGTAGTGCCCAAGGCCACATGGTAGTAGATGTTTAATGGCTCATCGGTACAGTTAATTGGAAGAGAATGAGTGAGAAAAACACATGGCTGCTTTTCCTGGAAGCATAGAGATTAAGTGTGACAACACACACCAGAAGTGTGGCCATGGACACACAGCAAGAGAGACTCCAGGAGGAGTGGGCTTCATGGTCAGTGTCAGCTGCACCTCCTCTAACTGTGTGGCCTTGAGCAAGGTGCTTAACCACCCTGGGCCTACATTTCCCTTTAAGCAGTATACCACATGCTAGAAATACATCAGTAAACAAGACAGACGTGGTCCCTGCCCTCATGAAGCATGCACATGGATGAGATGAGGCTGGCAGGAAGCTAACAAACACGTAACATGAAATAAGGACAGGCTGCCAGAGGGTTTTAAAAGGTGCTGGCCTAAAAAGAACTGTAGAAGACTCTTCAGGATGCGGGTGCAGCGAGTGCTGAGGCCCAGGAGCTGGATGACTGCCTTTGGTAAAGGACCTGCAATGCGGCAAGAACCCAGGGACAAGGGAGAATGGTGTGAGGCTGATCAGAAGGTAAGCAGGGTCTCCAAGGCCTGGGGAAAATTAGATTTTACTTGGAAGTATATTGCAAAAGTGTGAACCCTTTCTGCAAAGGGGTGAAAAGATTCAGTTTACAGTTTTAAATGACTATCCTCACTACTGTCTTTGAATATTGGAGAAAAGCAGTAATGAAGCCTGAGCAGTAACTGAAGACTGTGGTGATGGTGACTTAGACCTGCAGTGGTGGCAGTGGACACAGACAGTTGAATTGGCATGTGTTGGCGGAATAACCTGTAGCATCCGCTTATGGATTTACTATGAGGGTAATTGAAGTAACAAGAATAACTGTGTGTACTTTGGGATACAGCAGTCATACTTCCATTTGATCAGATTGTCTGATATGCTTTTGAGACATCCAAGTGAAGATGATTGTAGGATTACTAGACACTGAAGGCTCAGGTTCAGAGGACTCGGAAGGACTGGAAGCATATATTATTCATTGGCTCCATGTAAGCAAATCATCTAGGGGTTGTGACAACTTAGGAAGAGGCCTGATAGAAATATACGGCCCAGAATTTCAGATCACCGCACACTGAACACCGTGCATAAGATCGTTTCCTGTGTTACAGGTTCCTCATAAAAGGAATTGTAATGTCTTCATCACCTTCATGTATAACATTTTATGCATTTTAGGTTACACGTTCTGTTAGGTCAGGGATGGTACATGATTAAAGATTTTCTCAGAGAGAGATTTACTACAAACAAAAAGGCACTTCCAGTCTTGTGATGGGTCACTAGGTAATTCAGACCAAACCTCCCTGAAGGCAATTAAAAAGTAGGCCAAAATATTTTAAAAGTGTTGCTTAAAGGTACCAGAAACTAGCAAGACACAGGAATCCTAGGCCAAGATCTAGCAATAGACAGAGGCCCACGGAGAAGAGCCAGGTTTGGATGACTTGACTACATGCATGAGGCCCTGGGTTTGGTCCTCAGTGTCATGAAAAAAAGAAAGGGGCAGGGGAGGAGAGGGAAAGGGGAAAGGAAAGGTAAGGTGTTTGTGCTGGTGACTTCAGCATCTTGGGAGTACTACCATCCTAGGTACCTGCAGCATAAGCCCTCTGGATGTGGTGGTTCATTCCTTTAATTTCTAGAGAAATATGGTGGTCCATGCTCAGCCTAGTGGGCAGGGTAACCTACTTTCTCAGTGGACATGGATGTGCTCACTCGGCCCTCTCCCATTTCATTATTCTGACTCATTGCACCACAGGCTCTTCCCCCATTACATGGAATTATTTACAGTTTGAAGAGCACATTAGACTGTATTTTATCTCAGCATGTATAAACAAGCTCTCGGAAGTAGGACACTTATCACAGCATAGTCAATGTTTATAACTTTGGCAAGCATTTGGGTAAAAGCATAATTTTTACCTTTTTTTACCTTTTTTTTTTTTTTTT